TGGATTTTTTCTCTATTATTTTTTTTTCAAAATTTGAGCAAAATAAATTTATATCCATGTCCACCAAACTTACTCGTATATGTAATGGTTAATTAGGAAATTTAAGTTGAATATTCTTTTTTGCCTTGTTTTAATTTACTCATTTGCTCGTGTTGCTCTTTGAAGCAGCATACCACCAGATTGATGTTGAGGTTAATGAAAAAATGTATCAAAATAAAATAATGCCAAGTGAACAAAGACATTGCCAATGGCACTTCAAATCTACGAAATTTACAATGAAATAGATTAGAATATGCACATATATAGCACCTACAACATTAGTCACGAAGAAGAAATATATATGATGAAAATACTGTATATTTATAAATTCAAACGTTTTCTATTTCAATATTTTGAATGTTGATTTCTGTCCAGTGAAAGTAAGTTTATTTATACTCGGCGTCGGAATAACCATATGTCCGAGATTATAGCATCCTTGCCGGTCCACTATGGTAGTCACATCGGGGACGTCTTTTTCAAGCAGAATCTTCCTGGTAGCCCATTCTTCGTTCGTTGGTGGTAAAGGAGACATCAATACTGTCAAGGCATCATGTTCCTGACTGACAGAAACGGTATTCGTTAGCGCCAACCCTCCAGAGTTAGTCACGACAGGTCAACCAATCACCTCTGGTACTTAAGATGATTTGACCTTTACCTGCCGTGTGCCTTTTCCACGACGTGCACGCCTCTGGAAGGATTTGGAGAAGATTATGTCAAGCCGGTGCTACATGTCATTTAAACTAAAGGTTTAACTAAGTAGTCACTTGTATTAAGAATAGTGTTGAATGTTATTTTGAGAGGCTCAGTCAGTATCTCAACTCTTTAAATGAGATATTAATCTAATAAAATGTCAAGTCCAGTGGCTTTATTTCTTTTTAACTTTTTGATAGCACTATGTATTTCCGTGTCTGATATAGGGACGTCTAATTCCTCATATATTGATTCAGTTTGAATACCTTGTGCATCAAATTGATTAAATAAAATTCCAACTCCTCATTAAAGCTATATTCATTAACTTAGTTCAAGTCACAAGAATGATCGTAGAAATTTGAATTGTTTATGCTTTCGCTATTTACACATGTATTTCTCTTAAACCTCCTAAAAATTTCTCTCGGTTCCTTCTTCCTCAATGCATGCATCTCTTTGCCTCTTTTTGCTTTATAGTTTATTTTAGTTTGTCGCACACACAATTTTTAGTCTTTTCTGCACCGTTTTCATATATTCAAAATTTTAATCATATTCATCACATTCGAATCGTTGAATTGATTGTTTAAATAAACTTTTTTCATCGCATTCAGCGTTAAAACATTGTTTATTTTCAGTTTTATCATTGTGGAAATTGATGAAAATTGATTTTGTATAATGTTTTATACTTTTCTTGAAATATATATTTGCTCTTTTTGTAGTGTAATCTGATAGTAACGTAACAGATTTATCTACACTGTTATTTTGCATGGCGTTCAACGTGAATGTATCCTTTAATGTATCTATATTGTTTTTCAAGTCATTATGAAAACTCAATTTAGCAGTATCATTCCACTTAAAGTAGTCTCTTGTTGGAAGATTGTTTACTGAATTACACGTTTCAATTTCAATATGAAACGATAATGGGGAATGGTTCGAAAACTCGTAACATTGGTGTACTTTATATCTTTAAATAGGTCAAAATTGCTATAAGAAGTCACTACATAGTCAATTAAGCTTTTGCCATTGTGTGTAAAACACGTAAAATTACCTTTATCATTAACACAATACCTGCCATTTAAGATACACATGTTTTTTGATTTTCATATATCAAGCAGGTAATCATCAAATCGATTACTGGTATAATCCATAGATAACCGTCTAGACAGTACGTCATTTAAAACGTCAAGAAAATCAATCTTGTCTAATTTTCATACATTTAACGCCATTCCGTATAGTATCTTTAATATGAATGATAATGCCGCCACTGGATCTTTTAGCAGGGCGACGCTTTACCTTCCGGCAACAGTGTATTGGGTAACTATATCCTTTTAAGTCAGTTTTTGATTTCAGATTTGTCCAAGTCTCATAGATATAAACGTAGGTGCTGATCCAGTTTATAAAATCACTGCAAGAGCGTTTTGCTTTTGCAAGTCCTTCAATGTCCCACGACAGTAGTTAAATACTGCTCCCATATAATCCCTATGCTTGCCCATGTGTTGATGGAGAGATATATTCTATACAATCAATGAAAATCTTGTTGTATTTGAAGAATGCCTTCTTTTTTGTTCTTTGCATCTTTGCAAGCTTTCATAAGCGATTTCCTTTTGTCCGCAAAGTCTTTTTCGGAAACTGTTGGCTGACACCTACCTGTTTATTCTTTTAGATTCGGATACGCCTTTCGGACAATCACATGATTTATAAATGTGTCGAATTTTACCAGTTCTTGTCTAGTTTTGCGACTGTGGAATTTTCTAAAAGGTCAAGCACTGTCTATCTTGATTTCTGTTGTCGCGCTTTCTACTTTCATCTTGTTTTGTATTATATTCAATATTGAGTCTTTGCACGTTTTCGGCGATTCTTACACGGAATCTGATACTTCAAAAAACAACAGATTGTTCTTTAACTAATCACATTAGTTTAGTCACAAATTCATTACATGTACATGTATCATGTGAAATCGGTGTACAACCAGCATGGATCCAGACCAGCCTCACCGACTATTTGACAAGTCTACGAATGAGCAGGCTGGTCTGGATCCGTGCTGGTCGCAAACGCGCTATGTTGCTTTTGTCATGATGCGGTTATATTGTTACTTAGTACTTATATATATAATATATCCAGCCACTTAAATATGCAAAATAAAATAATTCAATGTCCAATTTGCACTAGAAATATCCAAAATTCAAGTGGCGTGAGGGATATTGCACTTTTTATAATCCCTCATGTACAGACCCAATCAAACCGAGTCTTCAATCTTCGTGTTTTTTCGTTATGATTAATGCTTCCGGGGCATCATCCTGTTCCCAGATATTTTGTAACAGCAAGATAAAAAAGCTGCAACCTAGAGAGCTTTTACATTTAACATTCATCAGAAAACATCCGTGAAAAGCTACCAGGTGCAAGCTCTTATACCAATATGTCTTCCTTGTTGTATCACTATAGTGTCTTACTGTTTTTTCTTGAAACGTAACAAACCACAATGCTTTTGCATACTGATAAATTTATAAAAAGGGAACCGTTTCAAATTTTGACAAAATACGATATTTTTTAATGCAAATACCTGCCCGCATTATACAATTTTCGTTTTCTATGTTTTCAAAACCAAACTTGATTTTCCTGTAAGTAGAGAATACGTGCACATGTCTGTTAGATAATAGTAACTTTTGGCAAGGAGTAATGTTGATATGACTTGTTAATTGATACTAAGTGCCATATTTCCAAACTTATCAAGTAAAAAAATCTTAGATCAGGGACCAAGAAGGGGTATTTTTAAGGGAATTCTTACGAACTAATCCCAAACAGTGCCTCTTTTCTTTACCCGCGATAGCAAAATAATTCTGGAAAAATGTGATCCCTCGGATGAATTTATTTTGTATTCTGCACCTTCATAAATATCATCTGACACTTTTAAAGTTGGATTTTAGCGGATGAGGATCAATATTAAAGGTCAGTCTTGAAATGCAAACATCCATTTTCTTCAATGTACGTCTTTGCTTTCTTTACCACACTTTACTTCAAAATTAATCATTTTAGGCACATGATGCCTCAAGAATCAATATATTCTTTAAGTTTTCAGAAATGTCAAACATGTATTTAATTATGATCTATTAAAAGAACTTAGAGCATCTTAGAAGTTTAACAACTTAAGAAAGTAGCTCTGAATGTGCAGGAATTATTCATGTAAACAAAGTAGTATTTTGTCTTCACTTCACTAAATTAAACCAATTGCATGCAGAGCAAAATAAGCGCAGGGTAGTTCATCTATTTAGCAAATTAGTCATTTATTGGAAACTGTAACATGATACCAAAACAAAAGGTTAAATTTGTGTAATAAATATCATGCCTTATTAAATATCCTATATCTTATGTGTAATTCAAAATTTAAAATATTTTAAACTGAACATATCAAAAGTATGCGCTAAAAGAGAGCAAATGGTTAAAAGACACACGATAATGTTTATTGTATGTATTTAATCAGATATTTAAATGTTGTTTATATCCATAACCGAAACAAAGGTTTATTCTACTCTATGCATATCAGTACGTTTTGTAAAATAAAATCAGATAATGTATAGTTATTCATACCGTTTGGACCAAGAAAAATCGTATATTTTTGTTTTACAATAGCCAACAATTCACGATGCTACGACTCTAAATCGCGACAAACGATGCCAAAAGATACGATGAGACGATGATGAAATCGCGGTAAAACGATGGTGAAAACGCGATTAAATTGCATCTATATCATCGTATGATAGTGCTTTAACTATCGCAAAACACTGCTCATGGTTATCGAAAAACGATGGTGGGACGATGTAAACGCGTTTGTACGATGGTAAAAATGTGATGATACGGTCGTATGATGTTTAAGGTGCAATGGAACGGTGATATAAATGCGTCATTTTATCGCGTTTTCAATACCCTACCATCTTATCATCGCGATTTAATCATCGTGTCATCGAATTTCCGTCCTTGTTTCATTGCGTTTTTACAGTCGATGCATCATGCATCGCGTGCAAGAGTTAAATAAAAAGTCTCGATTGTCCAAACAGAAAGCTGTACATTTTCGATTAAACGAGAAGGATGTTTTAATGATCCTATCAGACGAGCATCTGACTTAAAAGACAACTATCACATTAATTCAATCCAGTTCAGGAAAGGAAATGTCTATTCGGTGACTTTTAAGTGTATACTTCCGGTTAATTACGCTAAGTTGAATTTAGCTATATAATTATAGTAATTGATAAAACAGATGCGCGGTGTATGCAATTTTTTATTGTTTACTGAATTAATTCAGTAATGTGATTTATTTAATTCATTGATAAGAAAAATGTTTCATTATATTAGATACGTAAGCATGGTGAATTGTTGTTTTATCAGTCGATGAACATTTCAAGTTCATATATGTGCTAGTAAATGAGCATACTTTAAAGTCGTGTAGTTTTAAACGATTTGTTTATTGTGGTTCCATTCCATGATTATAGACGCATGTATGAAATGGATTTAATATCAGGATGACAAATATGTGACACTCACACGCATAATGTGTTTCATGACAAAAAATGTGACGCATGCGCAGTATCAATTTTAACTGAACTGGAAAATGCATCACAAAAGTTATGGCCAGTGAGCGTAAGTAGCGCATGCGCAAAATCAATTTAAATGTTTGGTACTTGCGAATGTGAAATGTGAAATTCTTTCTTTTTGACGTATGCAAAGAGATGAAAACATGACAAAAGATGTTATCCTTTAACTGTTTATCTTCACAGGACATTTAATATGCGACCTTTAACGTTAACGCATGCGCAGAAATAATCTTAACTTCGCCAGAACACTGAGAAAGTAATTCACGTAAAGTGCCTTTTGTTCTTGTCGAGAAAGCTAAATTTATCATATGAATTAAATAATTTTTATTCAAACAGTGAAACATAGCCAAGGTTATTGCTTTCGCAGTTGTAAAATGTTTACATTATAATTTCTGGAGCACTAATGAGAACGACGCATGTGCAGCGTTAATCTTTAGGGCATACAGTCACATTGATATTTCCATAGACTTACATTATAAGAAATGGTCCATAATCCTATCTTAAAATTCAGTTTTCATGCTCAAGAAGTAATTTTTTTAGCAGAATGAAATGCCTGACACAAAGAGATGTTCCTGTTATAAAGGGGTAGCCAACCAAATTTTTTGCTAAAGGATTTCCAAGATGATTAACCGCCATTTCATTGATTTTTTTTGCTGATGACAGGACTGCCATGCACTTTTTATAAATGCAAATATCCAAGTCAAAATTATCACAGAGACTCATGAAATATTCATTTCATTCAGAAAACAATGTAGTTTTACTTTTCAAATTAGTTTTATGCTTAAAAATACCCCCACTTTCATCCAATCACCTCATGTATAAATTGATTCATACGGTTTTCCCTGCACTTTTTTCAGCCAATCGCTGGCCATGTTACACTGCGATACCTTGACCTTAAGCGCTTTGGAACGCCAGACAAAACAAGAGCGGTCATTTACCTTTTACCTTTTTTGCAACAATCATTAGAAGAAACAATTTAACAAATGCACTTCTGTATCAATAAAGATGCACTGACAAAGACATGCCATTAACGTTACAAACACCATGTATTGTATTTTGTTTCGTTGCCAAAAACTTCGTTTCATTCTCTTTGCACTTAAAAGTGCATATGTACAATGTATGTGTCTACTGCATATGGACATAACATATCTATTTATCTATATGCATGTATTCCGGCAAGACAGTGTTCTTTATCTGTGGAGAGATTTAAAAGGACTTTAATCAATTTATCAAAATGGACGTTACATATTGAGGTTGGTATAATATATGTATATGTATTTCTGGATTTCTGTGTTTATTCCATTGAGATTTTATTTTTGACATGACAGGACTGGAAATAATTTATCGAGATAAACGTTCCAGATTTGATGTAGGTTTATAGCATTGTTTGTGCAAAACTTCAGATCATTAACTCACTTTTTCAAGAATAATCATTCAAGTTGTTAAAAATGGCCTGCAATTGAATAGTGTTGCACTAATTTTTACTTAAATCGGACTAAGAATAACACACAAAATTATAGATATACTATGCTCAAGTTTGATGTTTGAAAATATTGATAACTACTACACAGCGTCATTGTAAATACAAATAAATATGATCCGGTTTCATTAAAGTAGATTTTTAGATATGTTATGTTTTTAACTCTATACACTTTAAGTGGTCACAATATGAATATATAGTGACATTAAAAAACCATAAAAGACCAACTTCACTTAACCTTTAATAGGGAATGCAGCTTTCAATACAAAATTTGAACATTTTTTTACTTTTACTCAAATTAAAATGTTCAGTAAGGATTTCAGTGATTTCAATAAATTTCTGTGATAAGAATATTTTACTAAAAGATGAGCATAGTATATATTTAATATAATTTTCAATTTATTTCAGAGTATATTTGTCAATATCTTTGAATATCTTTCTGTTTTGAGTGCTGCATCTGATGTATGTACATGATGTAAGAACTTCAAATTTTATGTGTTTGGACTTCGATGGAGTTCCTTTCAAGAAGTTATAAGTTATTATTACTTAACATAATAGCCTCTTGGTCGGTATTGTATTCTATAAAAATATTAACGGCGTATTTCCTTTAATACAATTTATAAACGGAAGTGAAACGTCAATTAGTGAAACGTCAATACGTGCGATCTATTTAAGGCCTAAAGGGGTCTTAGCTTCCATTTTAACTCTTCGATCATTTAATAATAATAATAAATATACTTAGCCAATTCCGTTGTTCATTTTTCTTCGTTTATACAAGCGATTAATAAATGATGTATATATATAAGAGAGTAAAAAAAACTAATGAAAAACGCTCTTTTTCAATTGCTCAGTCTGTTTGATAAAGTCTTTCTGCTGCTTTTTAGTAAATGTTAAAGAATATATGACGCAGAAATTCATCCTCCAGCCCCAATGCCAATGCCGATTATCTGGTGCTAGAGGGTATGTGAGATTTACACCTTTTCCATTATATCTCCTGAACAAACTCCATCAAACCAAGTCTGTGCAATTTTCATTTAATTTCGTTATTTTTATTACTACTGAGGGACTACTTTTCAAGATATTTATACTTCACAACAGCCATGTGTCATGTAGTGGCTGATAAAAAACCTGATCCGTACTTCAATCCAGTGTTCTTTTATTTCTCTGGACCTTCAGGATCATTGATTCCAGCACATTTTCGGCCGAAAATTTTATACAGTGTTATGAGTTGTTAAGGATGTTGTGCATTTCAATTGTATCATAGTTTGGAGAACTTTCTGTTGAAAATTTGTTAAATCTTATGTTAAGTCGTATACATATACATTCACAGTGCGATAACTGGAGTGCAGGTAAATTAGTTACCCGCACTCTAGAGCATGCCAATTGATTGGCTAATTTTTTCTTTGGGTTTACTTATTGTGACGGCAGTGAAAGGGAAAGCGCAGTCTGATCAGGATCCATGGTGTTCGCTATCAGTTTCTCTAATTGTAATAGGGTTGGTCAGCAAACCCATTATGTTGGTTTTGTCGTGACACGACTCATATGTAATACTGGCAGCATTATTAAAAGAATCACATATGAAATGTTAGTACGGAAGAGCATTAGTACCAGGTGTGTGTTTTTTACTTATTCGAAATTTCGAGTTACAAACTCGAAATTTCAAGTAACTTATCTCGAAATTTCTTTAATTCAAAATAACGACTAATTAACTCTAGATTTCGACTTACCTACTCGAAATTTCGACTTATTAATTCGAAATTCCGACTTAATAACCAACTATTTTTACTTGTTAATTCAAAATTTCGACTAAGTTACTCGATATTTCGGCTAAGTAAATCGAAATTTCGGCTTACATTGCACGACGTACATTAGTTGCCCTTGAAAGCAAGGATCGAATTCAAGATACTTTCTTTCATGGGTAGCTGTTACACATTGAAAGAGCACCTATAGTAGGTATCGAACAGAGATAAGATCACGCTTTAAACATTTCCGTGTTAACAGGATGTTTCTTGTGTCTATAGCACACATACAACCATCATGTGGAGACACGTACAAATCCAAAACCCACCCTTATGTAAACTGTGTAGTATTCATGTGTAAGCTAACTTTTTAGTGGCGTGTATACGCCAATTAGTCCGTCACATTTATTTATACTTATATTATTTTTGTAACATTTTTAAAAGATGTTTGTCAATATTCTATTTTCTTCTGCTTACTCAGACTTTGATTCATATTGTGTTGATAAAAAGTAGAACTCGTTGGTTGATACTTGTTGCCCATAATATAAAATCATCCGATTTTACAATAAACTGAAAATTTCTCCTATAGTCAGCCCAACAAATTTGACAAAGGCTTCAGCACTCCCTATCTTTTTTGGCCACTTCGCTGTACTTTCCTGAAATGTCCCACACGTGAAGTATATGATCGTTTTATTAACAGGGATATAAAAAATATGATGAGTGAAAAGATATGTTCGAACATGCGGGTTACAATACAACGCCTGAAGAACGCCTGAACGTACAAATTAAAAGAGTTCTTGTGTTTTCGATGTCGTTGATGTACACGCGATTGCCAAAGTTGACCACAGAAATAACTTTAAGGTTAACTTAAATAGTTTGTCCCGTCACTCCGTCGTGCACTAATATTGACTAAACTCTTGGTAACTCATAACTTATTTGGCCATTCTACTAATGTAACCTAGTCGAAACTTCGAGTAAATAAGTCGAAATCTCGGGTGAGTAAATCAAAATTTTGAGTTACGGAAGTCGAAATTTCAAGTAAGAAAGTCGAAATATCGGGATAAGTTAATAAAAACAAATATCTGGTGCAAATGCTCTTCCGTGACCATGTCATTTATAAACGTGCCATGGTGAAAAGGAAATATAAAAAGCAATGAAAAAACTTTGTTAACCGGACTTAACTGGTTAAACATTAACTTAACTAGGAAGTTTAAGCACTAGTATATCTTTCCTATTTTAGAACTACTCGTTTCATTTCGAATGTCAAGTGGGATTCCCTGATTTCAGTGTTGTCATTTTACAATGGCCAATGATAATTCTTTTAATATTCAGTTCTTCCTTGTAAATTTTACTAAAAGTTAAGCTGAGTTTAAATGTCTTTAAGCCAAAAATTAAGCCAAGTACAGAATTACATTTAAGTGTATCAACAATAGCTAAATATATATATATTTATACATTCGATATATTTAAGCACAAAGCTATAATTGTAAAAAATTGACCACACATTTATTGGCCAATAAATAGAACGTGATAATCTTAACATCCATAAACCTAATTTTTATTATAACTTTATCACTTTGATGCTCTTCAAAAATGAAAATTTTAAAAGCTTTTTCAAATTATTTTCGGAAGTGATTGGGATTCTTAATATGAAGTATTTGTTATAAAACCTAAAAAGGACTTTATGAACGCCGTATTAGTACTGAGGTATTAGGACTTAAACCTTATAATTAGAACTGAAAGTTGCTAATAACAACTAAGTGACTCTTTATTTGTAGTAAATGACTCCTAATTACGCTTTTTAAATGTCTAATCTGTAGGTTAAAAACTACCAAATATGAATGAGAAACTCCAAGGCTAATATACATCTAGATTTAGATACACACCTAATAAGGAATAAGACCTCATAAAATCCTAATTAGGACTTTATAAAATCATAATGTTAAGTTATTAAAGCCTTACTAGGACATTCATTTTACAAGCAACTCATAATTAGAACTAAATTTAATGTAGTTATTTAAAAACTATAGTTTACAAAATATAAGCCTAGTTAGGACTATATATATACTATTTCTTTCACATTTTTATGTCTATATTCTATTATTAAGGTCGTTTCGATTAGGAAAACTGCAAATTGCTAACTTTTTTGTACATGTAAAGGAGCAAGTTTATAGTGAAAATGTTATGTATATTTAACTCAAAATGCATATAATTGTTACCATTTTACATACTGTTTGAGATAGTGATTACGGAAAGAGTTTCTAAAAAAGCTTTCAAGCTTCCTACTCAATTCATACTGTTTATTATTTGTAAATTATCATGTAAATGTAATACTTATAAATAAAATATTGTTGAAACTAATTTAAAGTCTGACGATTCATTACATACTTATTTGTTCTGGGGAAAAATGCAGAATTAGACTAGCCCATAAAATATCACATTTTTGAACTCCAATGTGTAAGTTATTGTAAGAACGTAAGTAAACAGTAACCTGTGTTTCAGTGAGTGTTCTTTTTTGTTGTTTTGTTGTTGTTTTTGTAGTTGCTGGCTGCTGCTGCTGCTACTTTTGTTGTTGTTGTTGTTGTTGTTGTTGTTGTTGTTGATGGTACAAAATAATCATTACATTTAATTAATGTTATTATCATGATGATTATGTCGGTGATAACCTAATATTTATTAGTTCGTTTTTTATAAAAGATCATTTTTTTACAATCTGACATTTATTTTGCAATTACAGGTGATCCATGGCAGTAAATGACATCTTGGCAATCATTAATAAGTCTTGGCATGAGTAAGCAGAATACTGGCAATCTAAAACTGCCCTCATAACTGTGCCAACGGTCATGCATATATTGCAAATCGTTTTACAAACATAGGCATTTCTTACTGTATGTAGGCAAATTATTACACATTGGCAATACTGGAAATCAAATTCCCCGGAAAAGCCTGGTATCTGCCTCACCAATGAAGGGCTTTCAACGGACATTTTCAGATATACTGTTACTCGTGGTTTTTCTTATACTTAGTGCTTTACTGTTTACAATCTACACTAGTACTAAATCAGTTACAGTACGTCCCGTTCCGTATGACTTTGAAGACAGTTACACGGTCGAACCAGTGTTTAACAAAGTGTTTGTCAACAAGAGCCAGTTCGATCTTCGCATTATTGTAATCACTTACAACAGGGCAGCTTCACTGTTAAGGTTATTAAACTCGATAAATAATGCCGAATACTACTCAGATAAAATTAAATTAGAGGTCTGGATTGATATTTCCAAGGAAGGTAAAAAAGACAATGCGACAATAAACACCGCGTATGAATTTGAATTTAAACATGGGTCATATGACGTTCACGTGAGAGAAAAGCATGCCGGTATATATGGACAATGGCTGACTTCCTGGAAACCGGTGAAACAATCTGCAGAGATCAGCGTTATTCTTGAAGACGATTTAACAGTATCACAGTATTTCTATAAATATCTTAAACTTGTGCATAGGAAATATGACAGTCACCCAGAGATCAACGGGTACGCTTTACAAGGTGTTTCTATTAAACACCACGTACATGACATGTCCACCCTTGAGGGTCCTCCCGGAAGTTTAGTTTTTCTATATCCGGTTCTCGGCACGTGGGGATTTTCTCCAGTGACGGATAAATGGATTGGATTTTTAGACTGGTTCTATTCATTACGTAACATGAGTGACGTAAACCCGGATATACCAAACAATATTGCGTCAGAGTGGTATAATATGTTTCTCAAAGAGGGAAAGGCAGACACCATGTGGGAAATTTGGCACATATACCACGCTTGGCAAAACAATTTATACACTCTTTATTCAAACTTTCCTGGTAGGTGCTACATTTAAATTATTCTCTCATCGTAATGTAATTTTAGCTTTCTTCAGTCATTTTACACGCAAGAAGATCTTATTTCACTTTCAAATTTCATTCATTCAACTCTTTTTATGTATCTATATTATTCTTCTCTAGTTATGTTCGTTGAAGCCAATTCAATAAGCAAATTACATGTAAACTTTGATAATTTCACTAACTGATTAGTTATATGATGGAAGTGGTTTTTCTGTTTATTATTATCATTATAATTATTATTATTATTATTATTATTATTATCATTATTATTATTATTATTATTATTATTATTATTCAATAAACTATTTAAAATTATGATGATTCTGTTTGATCATAGAAAGTTTTGAAAAAATCTCTGCACTAGTTTCAATGTTCCCTTTTTGCCTAGGTAAAAATTTTAAAATTTTACTGCTCCCGTAAATGTCTATAAGTTATTTGACCAGTTGTGAAGATGGTGCAATAAATACCTATTTGAATTTGATAGTTTGCATTGAGGCATTTTCATTATTTTTTTTTTCAAATTAAACACAGAAAGGAGGTCGTTTATCGCGAGCCTTTTGTCGTGACTGAAAAACAAGGCTTTAAGTGTTTAAGTACTGATTAGAATAGAACAATCGTGAATTCATTATTGATAGCGAATCCTCAAGGTTTATTGGTGATTTTTTTACTTGACTTTATCATGAATTGTGGCAATCAAACTTCAGGAGTGAAATATTATAAGTTAGGAATATGAAAATGAAAAATGACCTTATACATTGTTTTCAAATAGCTGAAAGTCGGTCTTCTTGCATGACGCCCAGAAGTATATAATATCACCTATTAGGGCATATAACGTTACACTGCCTCTTTAAGCAGAAGAATCTCTGTAAAGGTAAAATGAATGAGTGGTTTGACTTTAAACATATTATTTATTATTTAAGCTCGATTGCCAAACAACTTCTGGAAACTCATATTTATCACTTTCGAGTCAGCTTCCTGGAACCAACCAGTACATGGTCATGGCCCAATAAGGGCTCGAACCCATGATCACTGGGTTGACAGGCAGACACCTCAACCACTAGGCCATTGCTCCCAAATGAATGGGTTTATCTGCAGGGATCTCATCACTATTATAAAATGTACCATTTTACTAACGAGTTGACGATAGACTCTATTGAATAAAAACATCTTTTTTTGTATTGGCTACAAATTTTATCTAATCAAACGCATTTTTTTTTTAGAAAAAATGCCATTTTTTGTTTTTTATTCTAGGACATGCGGGGCTTAGCAATACAGTTACAGAGAAGCGGGCCTACAGCTACGGTTCTAGCGCGGGAGCATCAAACAAACTTCTTCGAAGAGTGGAAGCGAGAATATGATTATCTACCAGACTGGCCTAAATCATTTGGACATATCTGGAAAAATTGTCATGAAAAACTCAGATGGTAGTTAGTACGTATCGTCACCTTAATGCAATAACTGATTAACTCTTTATTTAATTTAGAAGGACTTAACCTGTTACTGCACTAAGGCGACGGATGTTAAGTAAGCACAACTACCATTGTCTAGAACTGGATTTACAAATTATTACGTCTTTTTCAAGAATTTTGTTCGGTTTTCATTGACGTACGTGTATATTTTAGTTCTTAATTATTTTCGCTATTTTTTAAAAAATTTCTATCTATTATATTCGGGAAGCGTTTGTTGGATAAGATTTGTGTTGATCCTTGTCATATAGAGGATTATTATCTACCCGAGGCACGGATAGAGTTGACATGCATCTCATTTTTAGGAGTTTTAAGATAAATGATCGTAAGATAAATGCAAAGAAATAGATACCGAACATCATAACAGCAAAGCATACAGCATAAGTTTTCTTATCAATTCGGCATATTACGTTACTTTCCGTTTATTTTAAAGGAGGTAAATGTGAAGCGTATCAATTCACTTTTGTCTATACATTATCATCTTTTTTAGCATATAAGATGGTCTCAAAAAGATTCTGTCACGAATAAATTATGAATACCGAAAATAATAAAAAATGCACTGGCATTTAACACTCTTTTTAATTACGATCAACTTTCAAAAAATGGATAGATCTACAATCAAAATCCAACGCTTGGACATTCTAATTGTAAACCAGTCTAAGCCGGCAAGACGGTTATCCGTAATGAACTAGTCTAAGCTGTGATGGCGAATTTTTCGAACGGAACCAGTCTTAACTCAGAAGGTGGAATATTCGTATGGAACAGTTGAAAGTTTTGAAGCAAGCATTGAGGTATCAATGTAAAAGACATACAAATGCTACATAGTTTGGACGAAAGTCACTGTGTTATCAATAACGAGATAGTATTAATTCTCTAAAATGTAAAATGTCAATTTTTACCATATGGAACGAGGCATGCGTGACTTACATATAGATTGTTTTCGTTCATTTGTGGTGTCTGTTCCTTTTCTTTTTTTCTTCTTTTTTTTTGTTGTTGTTAACTTCTTGATTGTATATTTTTGTTTGGTATATGTATGTATTGTTTTTAATTTCTAAAAGATAAACGCATATTGACAAAACTTTCATGACAATCCTTTTGAATAATAAAAATAAATAGAATTCACACCGAGACCGTTAAGCCATTTCGTCTTAACATATTTATGAATTTAAGAGCCCTACATATGTAAATACGAAGTATCTGATTGTATGCCTTGTAGTAGTAGTTAGAAATATGCTTTTTACTATTTAGCAATCATTTAATTGTTAATAATATTTCTATAATTAATCATATGACAAAACTGTTTATGACGATATCACCGAAACTAGTCGATACTAAACCGATTCATAAGGATATATATTATCTTCTACATACGATTAACATCTGCAGCGGAATTTACTAATTAAATGCAGGGCTTTAATTTTTTGTACAATTTTCAAACGAGTTTTACAATTAAAAAAAAAACATATCAAACTTAATATAATGTTGTAGTGTAATTATGGATGTGTTTGAATATTATATTACTTATCAAAAGGCACATAACTCCCCAATGTAGGTTAGCTATTCCTTATTTATCGATATTTTTTATTTCATTTGAGTAATTAAATGAAGAGAACACAATTAATTAATGAAATTCCGTGTTTATTTCTACAGAGGATACAATAAAAATATTAATCAATTGTAAAAAAGGTTCGACAAATTAAATGTTAAATGCTGTTAGAATTGTGTATAAGTTATCTGCGCTTTAAAAGAAAATTCAAGGGCTGATAACTCGTAAATGAGGTAGGTGACCCCAAATTTTTTATTTGCCTAAATGTATTGCTGCTATAACATTCTAAGAACAATGCAAAGTTTAAATAACTTCTATAAATGTAGCTTTCAATGTGCTTATTCATTATATGTAACCCCTGCAGCTGCCTGACTCCAGATGAGCAAAAATATATCAATTAAATTAGCCTTGGAAAATGAACATGCCTTAACTTTTTAATAAAAGTTACAAAAATCCACAATCCACATTCAAGAATAATTTTGTATGTTATATGCAATGAAATAGCTGATTTTTGAAGTATTTTACATATGTATTTCCCATATTGCATAAATTACTTTTGTTGTTCAGTTGACAGTGTTTGACTTTTAAATGCATCTTTAAAAATTGATGGAAATTATCATGAATACTTTAATTATTGATAATTTGTGACTGAATTTACACTTCTTATCACCGTTACAACTATCATAAAGCTTGGCGTTGTACTTTTTATTTCGACATAATTATATATTAATTTTGTAAAAGTGTTAGTGCCTTATCTATTTTAATTACTGTACATTTTATAAATGTTTTTTTGGGAAAAAATAATTTCTAAATGTTTCATTAAAAAACAAATCTTAATAAATATTCAGAATACTGCATTTGTTTGGTTCGTCTGTTATCCACATTCTTGTAGGGAAAAAAATAAATTCATATTTACAATTTGTCTGTATGTCCCAATTTTTATGTTTTTATTTGTTTGGGTCGTCAGACCAAACAAATAATGGTAGCGAAATTTTAGACTCTGACATGCGTATTTGCAAAAACCGAAAGTAGTCCGAACTCCTCGAAGCGGTTACTTCCCTTTATAAGTACACTAACGCCGAAAAATTAAGGGGAGATCACTGCGTAAAGATTGCCAAATGACAGGCGCATTAATTTTTTAAGCCTTCTCTGGGAAAAAAATAGTTCCCGATTGGTCAAAGATTTCTCATATTGAGTAAGTCTTTACAGATATGCATGCTTATATTAAGTTCCATGATTATTTACATCAGTGTTTCACAACAGGTTTACCGTGAACAAAATATCTCGAAATTAATAAGGGTTGCAAACCCTAATTTAGAAAAATGTTGTTTTCTTCAGGCTGTTATCTTATAACTTCCCCGTGGTCCGGGGATGCATGCTCGTTAAGGAAGCAAGAGGAATGGAGTTCAAATCCCAGTTAAGGCAATCATGTGTTTTATTTTTTTTTTTTTTTTAAATTGTGTAAGCCAAATAAACATTGAATTGAATATCAGTATTGCAATTAGCCTTATAGCCAATTTACTACAGTTGTAACACTGGAAACAGCATTGATGACATTATACAAAAATAAATCGGTTTATAATCTCACAACCTTCATCTTTCTGACATTCTGAGAACCAAACAAATTCAGCGCCTTCCGTGCTTTGATTTTGTATTGTTGTGGTTGCTAATGATTTTTATTGTTGTGTTTTGTTTTTGTTTTTTTGTTTGTTTTTTTTAAGAGCCTGGTTCTTTTTTTTTTCTTTTTTTTTATTTATTTTTTATTTTTATTTTTTGGTAAATAGATCTATGTGTGATTTCATTTGTTGTTTTTGTTTTCCAGCCTTAAAAATAAATTATTTTTAAAGTTAATAAGTAAATGGATAACTATAACAGACTGATGTTTTGTTATGCTATTGTTTTTTTATGTACATAACAAAGTATTGTTTTGTTTTGTTATAAAAGAGCTACAACGTCAGTGATGAGATTATTTCAACAGAAGAAAAGATCAAAATTGAATATCTATAATACATTGTAGTAGGAAGTTGCATTTAAAGTGTTGGCTTGATTTTTAAAACAGAGACAGTTCCGAAAACAGTAATTTCGAGTAATAGTTAGGTACATTGTTGCACACGCAATGCCTCGTGTTTTTAACTGCAAAATATATTGACATATCTGGGTTTTAAATGTCCAGTGCATCGTAATACGCTCGTATTGCTTGTCTAGACTCTCTGTTCATTTGTAGCTTAAACAACACTGGGTAATTACGGACGCCAGTGATGACAGATTGCTGCAGTGTTGATAGAAATCTAAAATTTACTTATTTCTACGCCACGGATAGGTTATCAACTTGAATAATATATTTACATTACGTAAATAAGAATAATATCATTGCTTTAGACTTGTTGTACATTGACTGGAGAATCTATCAGATAGTTTTGACTGTTTCCTCCTTTTCATTTAATATTTTGAACGGCTTCGGAATCAGTGAAAATAGTTGTTTTCGTCCTACATATCTAAAGTTTGGAATACGAGTAAATAGAAGAATGCGTGTAATACACATGAACAATCATCACTTAAAGTCACATGAGGTGTGCATTTTCTTGAGAATGTTACAGGCGTCTAACTAGCCCGGTCAACGAGAAAACGCTGCTGTTATAGGCGGAAATGTATTTCCGAGGCTGCCGATGATGACAGAAACGTTCTAAAGGTGGCTAACATACTCAGCGAAAATCAAGATAACTCGCGGGTAACAGTTAATAGTGATAAAGATCATCATAAAATGATAGTAGCATTTACACAACACTGTCATATACCAATTAGCATGGCTATTTTTTATTTATTTTTTAGTTATGTGAACAAGCTAACCCCCCGTTCACACATAGACGACGCTTCCACTACGATCAAAGCGTGGCCGATCGTGGCAAATCGCAGGAGAAACGTAGTGGAGTCTACATAAGCGCAGTATGATCGCGGTAGCGTCTTCATGATCGGAAAGCTCTACGCTCTCGCCACGTTTATTTTGAACGTGCTCAAAACAAGCGTAGCGGGATCGTGGCCAACAAGAATCGGGGTAAGTCGTAAAAAGAGCGTAGTAGAAGCGCCGTAATCGTACAAGCAGCGCAGGAAGCCATCGTGGATAGTTGTTCTTCATGATCGTAGTAAAAGCGCCAGTAAAAGCATAGTACAGTCCGGGAACATTACCGAGTACGCTTCTTTCAACGTTCCCACTATGTTCTTACTACGTTCCCACTACGATCTCTCTATGTTAGGACGATCCTACGAAGACCTACCATGACCTTACGACGATCATACCACGACCTGTCAGGTAGCAGTTTGTTTTATAGCGCTGCTATTTGACCAATCA